TCTACTGCAAAACTAGGCTTTTTTTAAAACAACTAAGAACTAAGATGTTGAATCTGTTATTGTTGCTTATCAAACAGTCGTACTCATTAGCTTCCTAAAAACCTGCAGATTCTCATTGATGAACCTGCAGGTATCTGAAAAACGGAATGTGTTATGCCTTTTAAGTTCATCAAGATTCGTTCTCAGCCAAGTGATGCATGAAAGGGTCAACCTAAACTGTCTTCAGATTGAACAGTTGTCTTTGATGATAGTCAAATAATACTCTTAGTTATCAGATGAAAATATCCACCATTCTTCTCCTGAAAACATTTTTTGCCGGGGATCACATCGAACAGAGCGATTGCCTTCACGATTTTTGATCGGAAATCATAAGAAACGAGACGATGACTGTGTCGAACGTATAGGTAGAAAATGGAATACTTGGTAGAAGCAACCTATTTACGGATGAGTCTTAACAAACACCTGTTTCGTATCGTTACATTTACATCGATAGCCCTTCTTGGCTGAGGATCATCTATCTCGAAAGTGACTGGAAATTTACTTTTTACTCACTCAAATGAATATCAATCATAGAATTGAAGTTACATTGCACATTACTCAGTGTAGATTGTACATCCGATTCACAGCATGTTTTTGGTTTCATATAAGGAGAGAAGAAAATGATTTGTATCCATGACAGCGTAAAACTGTTTTCTCATCTTCCGCATGCACCTGAAATGAAGGCTTCTAATTCACACGCATAGAAAATGGATAAGTTACTCTCGGCACTTATGGTGTGATAAAATGGAAGCATATTTCGTTTTCCCCAGTGAAAATTTTCTATGCCTGACCTCTAAAATGCCTGAATATTTTTCTTCAATGGGAGAAAAACTATCAATCTGGTGTTTCTCTTGAGAACTTCTAAACCTTCGCTGGATAAAACATTTGCAGAATACAATACACTTTTTTGTGGGGTCAAAATAAAATTCCAAATTTTGAAATGACCTATGACGTTGGACGAAAATTCACTATCCTATCACACACCCATCGACGCTTAGAATGAGCTTTAAAAAGGTTTGGCGCTTCACTTCTAATCGTGATATATATATTATATATATCAGATATATTATATATATATATGGATGTATGTCGACTTCAACAAAAATAGTTATTCCAAACCGGTTACCCGCCAGAAGAGGCTTTCAAACTCAGGGAATAGCAGACGTTCAGCACCATGAATTCAAAGGAAATCCCCAATCATTGTGGAATTTTGATCGGGAACTCAGCTGGGATGTTCTAAAATAATAAAGGTTGTAAATAATTTGATAAACAAAGCATTTTGCAATACAATCTGTCAACCGCACAATTGTCTGATTAAGCAATAATCTAAGTAAGGAATTAGGAATTACAGCAATACTTTTGTAGAGCATACCTGTCTTTGTTGTTGCAATCTCAATCTTTCCGATAGTTCCGCATCCATACCTTCATAGTCGGGTTGATCTGGAAGGGGCTGAGACACTGGGACACTCAAGGAGGGGTCTGTTGCCGTCAGTGATGTTTCATAATTTAGTTCGGTCAGTCTTGTCATTGCTGCCAGTTTGTCTTTTTCACTTGCTGATGGGGGACATGTCAAGCGAAAAGCATTGAAGGCAGAAGGTATGTGAACTTCTTGTTGTGTGACCACAGGCACAACACGCCGTGGTTCAGATGTAACACGAGTGAATTCATTCAGTTTGGTCGTATTCACAACAGGTGTGACGGAAAAGCGCTCACGGTACTCACGCTTTGTTGCCGGTGGACCAGACACGCTACGGATGGATGGAATTTTCATGTGAACTGGTGATACGCGATCAGCAATCATGGGTGGGTATGTGCACATCGAATCTCTGCTGGATTCAGCAATATCAGAGCACGAGGATGACTCAGGCGGCAGAGCAATGGTCGTCAAAGTATATGTTGGTTTGGAAGACGCAGCAGCATCGTTTTCCGATTGCCGGCGACATCGACCCATATACATTTCGGCGTAGCCTGGTCTTCCAGTGCGATTTAAACGAGCAGGAGCGCTAGATTTATGTGGTGGCTTGATTGGGGGTTTCCCCAGTGGACCATATTGTTTCGAGCGGTCATCCGGTGGAACGATGATGGTGGGTTGTATCGGTTTTGGTTCACGTACAGGATATATATCCACAGGTCGAACAGAATCCAGTATTGTTGGCGGGGAAGAAGCTGGTGAAGCCAAAACCCCCATTGGTTTCGCAGGGCTTAACGACGGCAGAATTGTGTTGCGAATGGGGGCATCATATGCCGTTGAAGGATAAACCACCTCTTCTGAAGTTGGGACGGAGAAACGTCAAATAGAAAATCTCATCTTTTGAATTCAGACTACATTTTGCATTATATTACATGATACTAAAACCTAATTGATGATTTCCAAGGAGAAACCCATTAAACGAGCGGAGTGAGTTCCGTTTGATCACACATAAATGTACATTATATATCTGAAATAATAGCTATTGGCAAGAAATCTTCTAGTCACATTACAGAAACCAATTCTAGTCTTTAACAATTTCGTTTATCTAGTTTCTTCCAAGAAACATCGCTTAAACCTCATTCTGGATGTTAACGACCGAAATACAGAAAGTAATTTACTTGGTTAATTCAACAAAATTCTAAGAAAGCAAGTAGAAACAGGGGAACTGCTAATAAATCAAAATTTCTCTGATAAACCCTTTGCGTAATCGTAAACAGACGCACATATATTGAACTTTGTATACTCGTTTAAAAATTAGATGTCATGTAAATCTAAATCAACCATCCATGTGGTTTGCTTTCATTAGGCGGATAGATTTGATCGTAAACAGCTCGATACTAAAGTTATGTCTCAGTTAGTTTTTCTAACCCACGACGGATTAAAATCCGAGGGAGAATTAGAGTAAATTTGTCACCTGCAAAGTAAACACCTTTAGTTGATTGGTCCACCTTTATTTTTCAGGACTTATTCAGGTATCTTTGACATGCAGTTCACTGACTTCGTTGGAAAGCCAATTTTACATTTTGCTTCAAAACGTCTTCCTCCTCGATCCATGTCGAATTCAAAGCTAACCCGCTGATCGGTTTCATTGAAATATAAATTTAATTTTCGATCACATTAAAACCCTGTTTATTAGGTTGTGCTTGAATGAAATGAACCCTTCAGACCTTCAGGAATATAAAGTCAAAAAGTGAAGAAACCAATCTTCTTAAGTCAACACACTATCTAACTACCTGTGAAATATGATGTGGATGATTATTCTGAAAGATAAAAGCTTTGCATAGAGTCTTTTTTCGTTTATTTTGGGGAATGTTTCTGTTGTGATATTTACAAATTTACCACCGCTGGTGGTACTCTTGCTTGATGTTCATCGACGAAGCAGAACATGTTTTATTCCTACCCAAATGAGTAATCCTAATGGATATAAGATATTCTCATTCGATGAGGTAATTTTGCGGGATTTATGGATCATAAATTAGAGAATAAAACCAAATGGTTTAAGATGCACGCAGCTCTATACATTTTGAAGATCAACATGCAAATCTAAGATGTAAGTGAGCTGAGCGTATCATTTACGTTCATGACGGTTATGTTGCTAAAGGGATTTCAGTAAACCTCGTGAAATGTTTGTGAAAACTGCGAATTTCGAATGTGTCCACTCAAAGCACATTTTCAGTGCCACATATTTCATCTACGGTGCAGAAATTGAAGAGTGTGAGGTTTGCTGGGTGATCACATTTCGATCACATCTCTACCGCTTTATTCTACAATGGTACCATATTATTGCCATAAAATAAGGTACAGTAGCTAAGAATGAATGATCAGAAAATTAAACTCGGTGGATTAGTTCCGGTCCATTTATCTTACTGCATGACAATAATGATTCCCAATGGCAGAATTTAACAGCAAGCATGCGATCGACAAGTCAGGACAAGACCTCTCGAAATGTCAATTAAACCTGTGAATAAAATTCTATCTCAGTTTTCTAATGTGCACTAACTGAATACCGAATTATGCATAACTCAACGTGTGACTCGATTGTGAAAAAGTCAGAGTTTCTGATTTTCCGGCTTGGGGTTCATACTTTTAATTGATCAGATTAACGCAATTCTCATTCTATAGGTTGCATTTTCTATACGTTTTAGCTTTGCAAACCTGGCATGTCGAAAGTTTTCGCTTTCTCTCCGACTCTACTTGGAAATGTCCAATATCTCTTCTACTGTTTCATCCAAATGAACACCCAAATGATAACAATGAAAATCGGCTCGCGACAGTACATAGTTGATGGTCGCGCTTGCTAAACTGAATTAACTGATACGCTATACAGTGCACCAAAACATTTAGTTGCCTGCTGTCACAGTGGTCAAGCAAATTAGACATAAAATTCTGACCTAAAGCATCTGACATTATCTTCAAGGCTAAAATAAATTTCACTTGTTTCACATTTTTCGTGGTTGGCGATGCACGCAAGTTAGGGGAAGGATCAACGCTCACTAACTATAAAGATGAATGGTGTACACTGCGCTAATTAATAGAATGACCCTCAAATTTTTGGTCATACCTGGTTATTTCTTTCAGTTTTGGAAAACAGATGAAGAACGGCGCTATAAAAGCAACCGTTGAACAATTGTTGTGTTAAACAGAAATGGAATTAAGAGTAGGTGAAAAAGTGATGAGCGCAATTGAATTGGCTTCTAATACAACGTAGGTAGTCTCGATGGGCTGGACAATTAGGTGTGTATACTGGATTCTATTTCGCCTGTTCACTGAGCCTGGCAGTTTGTTTGCAAACGTTTCATCCTCAGCTGAGGTGAAATCATCAGTGCTTGTGAAGTGTCAAGCCCTGATTTTGTCACCTCGGCTGGTGATGAAACATTTGCAAACAAATTACCAAGCTCAGCGAACAGAAGAATTGGAATTCAGTTCAACCGAGCTAGGAGAACCGATTTTCCATAAGTCCGACGGAGCATACGTTGTTCGACCACCGGATTCTTCTGACCGCTCGAAGCGCGCTGCTAGAGTTGCCGAACGTACCTTCCTACGTCAACGTATTCACAGTTTTACAACACATTTGGAGAAAGTTAGAAAAGTTGACCGGCACATGGATGATATATTGAAACAAATTTTGCAACCACATGAACAGACTACCTTTCAAAGCATACTTGCGATACGATTCAATCAAAGAATGAAAGAGGTGAAACAACGTCAGATGAGGAAGTTTGATGCATTGATATCCAAGGATATCTAACCACTACATCATTCCCCCATCCAACCACCTCTTAATCTGTCAAGTCGGAAACTAGCTGACGAAAAACTAACTCTCTTGAATAAACGTCTGAGTTTTAATATAAGCCACTTATATTAAAGCCGATTGAAATTATTCCACCCTTAGAAGACAAGCTTGCAAAATTAGACGAAGAACAAGCCAACGAAGTTCGAGTTCAAATCATGCGGCTGCTAAGAAATCAGAAACCACGATTTCCAATAATTTGTCAATACTGGGTTACAGTCCGCTTCCAACTTCTAACAGGTAACAGATAAGTCACCCACATCTGTGACAACCGCGAATATGAGAAGAAACCCTACATTCACATACGAGGTCATATAGCATGCTGTGACATGTGGGAAGTTGTTATTTAACAAACTACGCGACGGCGGCGGATAGTAATCTGCCGTCAAATATAATTCACGAAAATGATAGTAGAAATAATACTGAATAATTGCGAGTTACAACGAATGAGCAGTTATCAGTGTCAGCTGGAAAAGAAAACTCAAGCTTCACGACATCGAAACAATTACAATGACGGTTACTGCACTGAGGTTCGAATCAGTGAACCGATGTAATAGAACTAAGAACTCGATGAACCTCAGAATCTTTATTGAGAATATGCAGCAAGAACAATCCGACACGTCGCCACTTCTGCACCGATTGATAAACAATAACATGAATGAGCTCTGCAAATGGCCAAAATGGTGTTTAACATGAATTAGTCAGTGAAACAAATCGGTTTTCAGGGACGAGAAAATAATGATTTGGACCACCCTGATAATTTATTTTAACAATGACGCGAGTTATGAAAATAATTTTCGTACCTCAGGGAGGTATCAACTCCCCCATGTTTCTGGCCGCATCCTCATTGCAAAGAAATACAAAGCTGAATAATATGGCCGAATTTTAGGCATCTGCGTCTTTCGCAATGATTTGTTTCGGAAAACAGACGGAAGACTGCATTTTTCAAAAGACGATTACCTCTGTACACATGTTTTGTTTCACAAGATCATAACCGTTACAGAGAAAAACTAAGCTACTGGATTGATCATTCATCCAGATTTAAAATCACTGGTCAACCTTTAACATGCCACCACAGGACTGTGTGAGAGTCGATGTCGGGTTGAAATTTATTGCGTGTATGAGCTGTTGTGATTAACGTTTTGCTTCATTTCATAGTTAGCAGAGTTCACCGATATGCACTGTGTACTTATGGTTACATCAGATAAATCGTCCCTAGCTTATTGAACAATTTTAGGCATAACGGCCCTAGTTGACCATTAGTACGTTTGTTTATCTGCATGGTTAAACGACCAGATAGGTTGGTGGAATACTGTACCAACACAAAACTCCAAAATAGGCGCGTGCAAAGTTTCGGAAATATCACAGACATGCAGTTAGTGTATCACCATGGAAACAAAAATGTTCTTTGAATAATCTTCAGGCTTTGGACTATGCTTTTAGGCAAATTATCTTCGATTTTAATTATTTGTGATATTTTTCACAGAAAATGCTGCCGAAAATGGATGAATGAGGTATATTCATTACTCGAATTGTGTTGGTTTGACTTTCGTAATCTTATTGCATGCTAATTAATAAGCAGTTAACTGCTTTTCACAGTAAAAAGTTAAGTTTATAGCAGATGTCCAAAAAACATGATAAAATGCTGTGAAATTGAAGAGACTTCGATTGTTTTGTAATGAGGATAATATTGAGTGTTGTAGATATAATATGAGAAATAGGAGTTCATGATGTAAACAGAATGAATTGCATGTGAGTACCTCAGAAAGTGAAACTCGAATACTTGCTCTAAGCGATTTCTCTATTTTCGTCTGCTGCGAGAGAGTGAGAGTTTATTCTGAAAACTTACCTCTACTAGTTTTCAAAATCAGATTGGCAACTTCTATATCCAATCGTTTCGCCCTGGCTTCTATAAGCCAATATTATTACCAATCAGTTGAATAAACTGATTGCGTACTGCCTCATTCCTAAAAGAGTTTTTCTCAAACACCTCAAACAAGCATCATTTAAACTTATGACTTAGTTAGATTATATATAACTCTATGTTAAATCAATGAAATTTTTATCAGTGCTGTTTATTGAACAAGACTAAAATAATAATCATCCTGTAAAACATTTTAGGATCGAATTTAATGATTGCATTTGTTGTTGATAAAATTTAACTCAGTTATCTCTGACTTTTTATTTCTGATACCCAATCTATATACTTAGAGGGTATTTCTCCTAAATCATTCCTTCTGCATTTCATACTTATACAAACAATCTCTCCAATACACATGTGTAATCGGCAAAGTTGCTATGATTAAAATACGAGATGATCAGAATGCTGAAGTCGCAAACTCACTTGGCTTTGTATAGATTACAGATATGACTGGACCGTCCGCTTTAATTGTGGTCGGAGAAATGGTCAAAGATCGCGTGAGTGGTTTATTAATTCCAATTGGAGTATACTCATTGCAAACCGAATTCCCAATCGAGGTGGATCTGCGCAACAAGCGTTTACCCATTTGGTCGGCAAATCGCACAGTTTTACGGGACGNTCCAACGTATCCGGACTCGGGTCACGTTGGGTTGAAAGCGAATCTCGAATGTTAGTCATCCGGAGATGAACCGGTGCCAACTCAATACTGTCTCTAGTACGCAAGGCTGTTAGTTCCGAGAAGTTTTCATAGAACCCAGGCAAGCGTTCCGGACTATTCCGAGCAGTGGCTGCACGTGGCTTCAAAATGCTTCGCAGAGGCACGTTGGAGGCTTGTATCCGACTTTGTCCTAATTGCTGCGTGTTATCATCTTTGGTGGCCATTTCCACAGATACGTGCCGATGTAAATTTATGGATGGTGAAGAGCTTGTGACTCGCAGATCAGAACTGTTATTTCCGTTCTCGTTCGGTTCAGCCATAGACCCCAACGAATCAATCCCAATGACTGAAGACATGCATGTTTTTGGATCATCCATTGGGGAGTTAAAAAGTTGTGCGGGATTGGGTTTTGTAGGCTGAAAGCACGTGGGACTGATTGTCGAAAATAAATTATTTCCATCAATTGATGGCATGTAATTGACCTGAGGAAGAAAATAATGGTTCACTGGATGAGCTGGGTGCATGTTTTTTGGAGTTTGTGCACGTGGCGTCACGACTTCTAAATGTTGAGAGTGTTTGGTTTCGACCGGCGAGGGAATGGGCTTGATCTGTAAATAAGCCAAAATGTCAATGTATATAGGCTTTTACATAACCAAAAGTGCTGAATAATAGAGATGGTTTATTCTGATTTAATCCAGTATAAAAATATTGTAAGACCAAACTGGGTTTATAATCAGACCAGATAATCAAATTGGTTAGAATTACCTGGATTACTGACATCGAGCTTAGATCATATTCTCGTGCATCGATCTCATAGCGGAAGCTTCCACAATATAATCATCATCTTATCAGCACTTTTAATCTATACAGACATCAGTAAGATATGTGTGATTGTTCAGGTACCGGCGTTCGTCATTGCCGATGCAAAGTAATTAGGACCAGAATGTTTCCCATCGAATCACAACCTTGGGCTAGTGCCAAACTGCGCCATTTATGATATCTTCTACGAGCTCGTCAAGAAGGACTGCTCTGTTTAGTTCAGTTTGTGAAACCAATAACCATGCATTTTTTGCGCCGGTTTTGGTTGCTGTCTTTTGGTTGCCCATTTGAATGATGCAGTAGAAGTAACACAGAATATTTAAAGGTAGAGCAGAAGAAAACTGGAAACAGTTCAGTAGACTAAAGTGGCAAAGAAAGTGAGAAGATTCACGAAAGCCATTTTTTATGACTTTTAGACATGTCACTGAGTGTTTCCAACTATTGACTAAAATGATCCCGTGATCCCCATCCAGGGAGTCTACCGCGATCTATGTAACCAAGTCTCGTTCTTGGGGTTTTCGTACCCTCGTACCAGGTCTTATTTTGACTACCCTTGTCATTTATCGATCCATTATCTGCCTCGGCAAATATCACGCCTCGTACCAACCTATTTGATGACCTGCGCAATACATGCCCTATTCAATGTGATCTATTATTGTTTCCCACTAGCTCCAGTTGTCGAACGCGGTTACCTAAAACTCTGCTCCTTATCTCAGCATTGCTCGTCCGGTTTCCCCATCAGACTCGTCGAATGCTGCGTAGACAGTAATATTCAAACAACGACAATCTTTCATTATCCTGATTTCTTAATGGCCAAGTTTCTGCATAGCATGAATGACCGAGCTGCAGCAGTATACACTCGACCCCTCACAGACAGCCGGATTTCGCGGCGGCGCCACAGGACTGTGCTATACAATGTATAAATAAAACATAAAACCGTCTGCAGGGCCAGCTTGTGGCCATGTTGTTAGAATACTTGCAATCTACATGTAATGGCTCGGGTTCGATCTCTAGGTTGATCGACAGATTTGCACTGCTCATAGTATCCTATCTGGTCGAAACAGCTTTGCAAGGTTTCCTAGCTTTTTGGTTATCCATTACTTTACTCTTGCATCTGTGTATTCACCTTGCAGCCTGATTCTACAGAATTTTTTTATTTTCACATTCACACCACTTTCAACATTCCGAAATCAACTTTATCACTTCACTCAAATGAGCAAAAACGGCATAAACCAAAACCGCTGCAAAAAATTATTATATAATTGATTACGTGTCGGAGATGTAAAAGCGATCTATGTGACTTTTGACAGAATGAATGATTACCACTGAACAGTCCATTTCCTGGATTAATCTGCACTGTTTTATGCATTAAAAACAACTTTTCAGTTCTAAAAAAGTGTTCTTCAGTACAAGATACACATCAGTTCGATGTCAGAAATGGTTCAGATTGACAAGTCTATTAAAATCGACATCGATAAGGTGGACACCCCATTATATCGAACTTTTGGAGTCAAACAGGATTTGTACACCCTATGATTTTTTGTGCCATACTGGAACACTCTATTTATGATGTTGAATTGGTCAAATTATTTGATAAGTGTAGAACTTACTCTGTTTGCTTTTACCGGAATCGTGTCTAAATTGGCGCTTTCAATGGCAGGTGTTACAGAGCATACGTTATATTTTTCAGTTTCATTATGCGCAACTGAGTAGATTGGGGCAGCACAAACCAACGGTACCTTAGTTGTGGCATGATGTTTTGCCCCACGGGGTTGTTGTGATATGTTAATGATCAGATCTGTGTTCGATCTTGAAGGCGGCGATGTAGATTTCGGTGTATGTATTAATTCGTTCGTTTGAATTTCCTCACGTACTATTTGAGAATCGGTCAGAGGTGGTGTTCCTGTGCAAAACCAATTAAAGTTGTTGGTGGACTCAGATTTAGCTGGTATGCCGTCATCANAGAAAATTTATTTTCTTGTGGAGATGAAAGAGTTTCAATACCCGAAGTCTTTTCTGATTGCAAAGTGGAGTCGCTGAGTGGAGGAGACTCGCCGTTTGAAGCTTTTCGTGGACTAAGGCTTATTGTCGATTGATTCTTCCAATCAAGGAAGAGATTGAAATTTGATATTGTCCTGGATTTTAGATCAGTTGCAGATTGACTTCTTCGTAACTGAGTTTCCTGAAGACGCTCACTTCGATGCTTGCAGTTATATCGAGGAATCCGTGAGGTTTGGCAGATAATTGGCTTTGATACTGCGGGGTCGGATGTGGGATGAAACTACAAAGTAACAGAAAGAGGTAGATGTTGCACACACGAGTCAACACCATAAACAGCACAGCTCACTATAGTAAACCTAAGATATTTCAAACAAAACAACAGAGTGGCGAACAAGCTCGTTTTCAGAGATTCGTATTCATGCCAATACATCTTAATATATATCACTACTTGGAAATAAAATTGTCCTGGGAAATTAAAATAAAATAAAATCACAGATTACTAGAACCAACTTCATCGTGAGACCGGAAATCGGGTTCACCACGATCACATGTTTATTTGTCCAGTCATCCGATCATCGAAATTACACGTAATGCGGCGTGTGTGGGNCGTCCAGGGCAACTTTGGTGCTTGCATAAATTGTTTTCGGGCACACAGAGGGGGTTAAGCAGACGAATGCCCACCACTGCTGTGACCAGCATCCGACAGCGAACCTGCCTTCATAATCTCCCACGAACTTTGTGCAGGGGTCGGAAAACCTCGGACACGTTCACCGTGTTATTTGTTTCAGATAGGTGTGAAACCACTGCGCTGGTGAGTGACTGAATCGTTTCGGCGTTCAGTTACGCAAGGTGGTGTTCACGAATCTGTTCGGACAATCGCTTGCCCGGTCGGCCTATGTACGCTGTCTCACACGAACAGGCAAATGAGTATACACAAACGAGCTTGTCCGTCACTCCGTTGTTTTGTTTGTAATGTGCTCTGTGGGACTATTTCAACAATCCTAAGATACTTTACCGGTAAGGTCTGAAATCGATATTTAGAGTTGAATGTCACTATTGCATTTGTCTCTCGAAATTATTATACACTTTGAGAAAAATAAATTACACGTCAAATAAAAGTGATGTAAAATATTTGTACCCCATAGTGACATTTCTGTTTCAATATGAGAACATATTAACCTTACAAATTGCTTACGAGAGTTCATGTGATTATAGGTTATAAGAATACTAGACTTTGCTCGAAGGGTATTTCTGTGACGTTTGACTATCTATTAAAACAAAAAAGTGTGAATATTATGTGAAATCACCAATATCATATTCCGTATTGCCGTTCTATGCACTGGATTTCAAAGGTTGATTTCTTCCATTCGACAAGTGGGATCGGTGTAGCATGGATCGAATGAGCATCAGCATACTCTCATCTTATTCAGTCCGTCTACCAAGCCACAGGCTTCGGTAAACAGCTCAGATGTACGATGCGTACAAACGGGTTGCCATTGTTACAGTAAGAGATTACGCAAAATATCTTGTTGGAGGGAAAGCAAAAAATAGTCACTTCAAAAACTGAAGAAAAGTTAGAAAACGGAGAATGTTGTGTACTTATAAGCGGATGCTAAAAACGAGACGTTGAAATACGTATTCAAATTTACGAGTGAAGCATGAAGCTAGATATCGAAAGTACAATAGGAAGAAAATAAAAATAACTTAACGCCTATCTGAAGACTATGATACAAGGCAGTTTATGTGCAACGAACTTGCAACAATTTGTCCCTCAGGATTACCAATATTTGAATAAAAATATTTTGGACTCTTTCCAACATTTTTCTTTCTGTTCTTCAAAATACAACTAACTTAAAGCAAGAAGAGCTAATTAAACTAACTTATTCACCTTTATTCCACAGCTAATTGTGAGTAGTATTGTGGGCCAAATGATATTGATTTCGATTGACTGTCTGCCATATCTTAACCTTCATCCATTCACTAGGGCTTCCCGAGTGTAAGATTGACTGGAAGAATCGACAGTTACAAGTGAAGACAAAGCCTAAAGGATAGTCTGTTAAAATTAACGGAACTTATATTTCAGAAAAAATTTAAGAGCATTGCATGCAAAATTCCAAGTGTTTTATGTTTGTTCATGGACCAAAGAATGAGTTGGCTGTCTACTTCACCTTTCAAGTGACTTTTTGGATTTCCGAATGCTTCTGTTATGAATACATCGAGAAAAATTCATCAGATATGCCTGACGCAATCTAGAAGGAAGTCGAGCACGAGAAAATCAAGAAGCGTTTGTCATGAATATTTTTCTACTGAGTTTTGTTCGGTACACAGTCTGGATTCAGACAAGCGTAAAACATGATATATAATGTGTAGTACTGTTTCGTCTTCTGACGTGGTAAACAGAAATATCCATACATAACTGGGAATGGCTAATCGGGGATAGTTGTTGTGGCCTACAGATGACTGATTCGCTTGCCAAATATAGTTGTGGCCAGATTGATTGATCGATTAACTGACTGTTTGAATGCTGACTAGATATTTGTCGGTTACAATAAACAAG